TTTCCAGTAAATGTCAAATAAGGTACTCAAATTTCAGTGTGTAGACTGTGATTTGTTTTGTGTAACAGGCCTTATTCATGTTGGGGATGAGCTGAAGGAGGTCAATGGAATCCCTGTGGATGACAAGAAACCAGAGGAAATTATTCGTATTCTGGTACGACTCGTCTTTGGACCCCTCCATTTCCTTTGTCAAACTAAGACCTCTCATTTGTGAGGCAAATGCTTCCTTTCCACTCATCCAGGAATGTGTGACATATCTGTTCACTTGCCTCCCTCTCAGTCATTTTTCTTGGCGCTTTGACCACTTGCATGGATTTACGTAAGGGAATCTGTGTCCTTGTAGATTTTCCAGCCGAACAGTCCTCCGATTAGATATGTGTTAGTCACGTAACCCACTGTTGCTATTTTGTCTCTTCTAATATTCAGGCTCAGTCACAAGGGGCCATTACCTTTAAAGTGGTTCCTGGGGTCAAGGAGGATGTATTGGTCAAGGAGCCAAAGGTAGGCCGTCGCCGCTTAAGTTATTGCCGTACACTGACTGACAGTTTAAAATAGAATTTTAATTGTTGCTTTCACAATAAGTCTCCTCTCAATTCATAACCCGCTAACTTAGCAAGCCGGAGCATCATCACATTATTTTATTCAATTATTGTTTAGGGACCGCACTCTTTTTTTCGACAAAATAGAATGCTTGCTTCTAGACTTTGAGGAAAGTAACAAGCCATTTTTTTTCCTGTCCCTTTCCTCTTCTCACTTCTGTGTTCAGATGTTTGTGAAGGCGCTCTTTGACTACGACCCAAAAGACGACAAAGCCATCCCATGTCAGGAGGCCGGACTCGCCTTCAAAAAGGGCTCCATTCTTCAGATCATGAGCCAAGATGATGCAACCTGGTGGCAAGCCAAGCATGAAGGGGATGCTAACCCCCGTGCTGGCTTAATCCCGTCCAAACAGTTTCAAGAGAGGTGCGAAATCCTCTCCACGCCTCTGCCCTAAGATGCACAAAGACCAATTTTTGTACAATTCTGTGGAAAACTTCATAATAGCGTGTTCTCGGGTGGCCGTTAATATGAATTAGATTCAAAGTGCAACCACATGTTGTGTGTTTTGTTTCACTTAAACACTCCATCACTTCTATATCCTGTTTTTTTTT